ATGTATCTGGTACAGCCGTCTATTCTCTCTTATATTAGACAGGCTGGACTGGTACTGTATTCTTAATTTCTTGTTGTTCTTAATTTCTACTTTTTATAACACATTATAGTCACCAGCCTAAGTATATCCTTTGTTGAGGTAAAAAAAAAAACAGATGCAATGAAAAATATTGATCTCCTTTAAATGAAGTGAGTTATTCTGAGGCACAAAACTCTTTATTTCCAAAATGGTATTTCTGCTGGCCTTTTATGGTGAGTCCTGGTAACTCTGAGATAAGAGTGGAAATTAATCATCTAAATTTTCCTTAGGGTTTGCATACATCCTGGGTCTTTAGAGGCCTCTCTGCCTGGCATTAAATTAGAGAATGTGCAGCAATGTTTTCTTGCTTGAATACTGGCCCTGGTGAGATTAACTTCTTTAACTTAGCCTTACCAGTCATTAGTCTCATTCCATCTTGCAGGGAAGATGAAGTTGTTTAAAGACTATAGTCTGTGTTCCTTCCTAGGGCATTTTCACTTGTATTCAACATCACAGGTCTCCCAGATCCTCCTTAATTACAGCTTTTCTTGTTATGCTAAAGCTTAACATACAGCAATTTCAGAGCCTTTTGATTAAATTCATTTTAATATTTTCCCTATAAATTAATTCCTTCTGTATACCAGAAGTTTTATCTTGTTTTTAATCAGTTAACCAAACATCATGATTACTGATAGAAAAACGAAACATTGCAATAAAAAATCCTTTTCAGTACCAGTAACAGTCAACTACTACTTACCTAAATCCAATACCAAAGAGCACATGAGTCCCAAAAATGTGGAATGTAGTTATTATACTAACAGTCTAATACAGGTATCAGGCTAAGATGGAAAAGCCCTGTTAAAAAGCAAATCAAGGGTTGGCAAATTAGAATTCCTGATCATAAACTTTATATAAAATGTAAGGAAAGGCTCTGGAAATATAAAGGTACATATATCAATAATTCAAAATGAGCAATGAGTGTGCCTAGTATGTGCTTGGCAGGTCTAGATGCTGGGCATGTAGCACTGGGGGGAGATCATATGCACCATCTTGCAGAATGGAAGCTCTTTGAAGGAGATGATGAAGTCTCTTCCCTCAGAGAATATAATATTCTAGAGGAGAAGCTCATGTTTGAAGGAGGAACTTACTATACATGTGTCCTAATGATTTTAATTTATTGCAAATCTGTTGAACTAATATAGGCAAACAAGGTATTTTATAGAGCTATGGGGAATAAAATATAAGAATAAGGCAGAGGCCGCTCTCTAGATGGCAGGAAGAAATTGGGGTGGGCCCATGTCCAATTTGCATCATGGACAAAGGTAAATGGCTTTCAGTAATGGCCTGGGTTTTCCAGAAGTTTACAACCAGGAAGGTTAAACATCTTTCAGTTGGAAGAAAGGAGCTAAGTAAATAGAAAGAAAAGGTCCTTTCAAGACAAGACTTTATCAGGACTTTGAATATTTAATTTCTAAGAAACAGAGATGAGAGGAGAGCATTCCAGAGAGAAGAGACTTAAGTCTAACTTTTAAAACAAACCAAATGATGACACAGCAAACTGAGTCCAAAATCAGCTGACATTTTGTATTTATATCATGCCTTGTTCAAAGCATAGTGATTACTTCATCACTACAACACCAAGAAAGAGATGCAAGAGAAACTTTTCATCATTTGTGAGTGTACCAGAGATAAAGTAACATTTCCCATTTAGTCTATGAGCACAGCATTCACGTCTTTTAACTTTTAAACTATAGTTTATTTTATAGGATGGACTACACTGTAGCCTTTTCTACTGTTGTCAATAACTTGCTTACATGTTTACTTTGATTTTCAATAGGTACAAAAAATCTAAACTCTGGTCTTCTTTGTGGTAAAGATATACAGAAAAAATAGAGTGAAATAGTTTGACAACTGCCTGTCACTTCTATTTTAATAATAGCAAACCTTTACATAATATCCAAGTGGTTAGGAATAGCTTATTTATAGCATAAATACAACTTTTAAAATGACTTTCCAGTTTACTCCACAGATTTTATACAAATTGATATTTTATATGAATTTGAGGACACATTTTTCTCCTCAAAAAAAAAAAGAAAAGAAAATGAGCATTCTGTGGGGCAATTTTGATGGCTTATTTGTTTATTTGTAGTTATTAATTCTACTAAAGATATATACTGGTTCTCAATATTAATCAGAGGGCAATTCAAATTTAATGACACAACACATAAATATAATTACAAGACTAAAAAGAACACAAAGAAACATGGTCTGCTCTCATGGCTTTAATTTGGGCATCAAAAATCATGAGACTCCAGGGTTGATGGAGGGAGGTAGGCAAGGGATGGGCTAACTGGGTGATGGGCGTTAAGGAGGGTACTTGTGATGAGCACTGGGTGTTACATGTAAGTGATGACTCGCTAAATTCTACACCTGAAACCAATTTTAGTATATATGTTAACTAACTTGAATTTAAATAAAAACTTGAAGGAAAAAAATCATGAGATTCCAAGTTACACAATTATCAAAGGTGACAAATTTCCACCTTTGTCCCTCCCTTCCATTCCCCCTAATAATTTAAAGCACTTAAATTTTTCTATTAGCTTCCATTTCTTATAAACTCTCAAAATGTTTATTTATGAAAATATGTTTTCCTGGGTAGTAATATTTTTTAAATTATGTTTTTAATCCTCATTTTGACCCTATGAGATTTTTTTCACTACTTGTAAATTTTGGACAAAAATGATATGAAAAAAAAAGTGATATGCATTTAAATATTGATTTCTTCCTAAATGGTTTGAGGGAAAGCTGTATAGTATTCAACTGTCTAGGAGGGAGAAACTTCATGCTTGGCGTGACCATTCCTTTAAAAACAATTGCTGAGACAGCACTCAAATCAAAATTTATCTCCAACATTCTTTACACCTATAACCTGCTTTAGGTATGTAGAACACCAATAAACACGTCTGAACATTAGTGGACATGCTAGGACTGATCTTTCCTAGTACCACTTTTCACAGTACCATTCTCGGAAGGGAGTTGCCCCCTATTTTCAGGTAAGCTGCCATGAAAACCCATTACCAGCCAATCCCATAGACATCTTTAAAATCCTAAAGTATAAATTGGCATTCAACAGGTCCTGCTTTGGGGCTTTCTGGAGACTGAGGATGGAGGAAAATACCCACCCCTGTGTTAAGAAAGCTAAAGGAGAATGGTGAAAATGGAGCTCCAAACCACCCCTGGCTTAGATACACTCTCTACATCTCAGAGCACAACTTGCAAAAGAGTGGTCTTTAATGAGAGGTTTCAAGAACGGATCACATCGTCACTTGGGTGAATCCTAAGAAACATGAAGAATGTGCATGGCCCTTTCAAGTCCTCTGAACTTTACCACGAGGGACAGAGCTCCAGAGGATGTTCCTTCTATAGTCATTGCCATTTGAAACCCCAAGCCAGTCCCATCCAAAAAATTCCATTAAATATCAAAACTTGCTGACTCAAAGTTTGCAAAGTCCATAATTCACCAAGAGAAGGGGTCAGCCTGAGTGTGAGGGAAATTCTAAGCTCCTCTGCGCTTGAACAAGTAAGACGCTTCTTAAAGGAAGAGGCTCCAAGAGACCGTCTCAGGGATAAAGACCATAAAAGTACTGACAGACTTCAGTCTCATTATGGCTGTCCACTCCTAGGTTCTGGTTGCCTAAAAATAGCCCTCAGGGTACAGAGCCCTCCTTCCCTTTGCCCTAAGAAAGCTAAAAAACTCTCCAAAGGGAGTGGCCATGTGTCTCTGAAACCAGATGCTGGCTGTGAGATCACAGCTTCCCCAGCAATAAAAGGCAGCCTCAGGGAAGGAGGCCCCACTCAGGGACTGGAGCGGCCCTCAGCTCACTCTTCAACTTTGCCGCTGTTCCGCAGCCCAGAGGCTCTGCCATGGTGGGTCCTAGGAGAAACGGTTTGTCCTTTATAGGAGGATATGAATCGTGCATATGACCTTTTTGAGTAGAAAGGCAGACAGATAAGGAACAGAATTGAGGGGAGAACATATTCGGTATAAGTCTATAGAATCTGCTTTTGCTTTTGGTTGAGGTGGGGTGAGGATAGAAGAGATTAATTCAAGCTATTATGTTAATTGAAAAAAATACATCTTACTCCCCAAAGTAGTACTTTATGCTTCACTAACTTTTGCTATATCACATAAGGTTTATTCTATCTAACTGGGGATGGGGGGGGAGGGGGGCGGGCAGAAACTGCTAGTATAGCAAAATATTATACCTTTACAAACAGTCTGATGAAGATAACTAAAATTAGGTAAACTACTTCTGACACATCGAGCAAAAACCTACTAGTTAAATAGAAGAAAGAATTAAGGATATCTTTTTAATGCAGTGTATCTGTATTTCTGAATGCAGGGTATCTGTATTAGACATGTCTTAAATACATCACAGGCTACTATATTATTCCAGGAAGTTATTTGACTTAGCATTTGTTAAATCATTGATTCATTGATGAAGATACAGAGAGATTTTCCCTAACTATCTTTCGCAATAGCTTATTTTTCCTAAATTCAAAAGTATCCTAAAGGCAACCTTATTCTATGACACCTACATGTCTTCCTAAAAATCTCAGAACAGCGAGCACTCATCCTTCTGTCAATGCATTTGAAAGAGTACTAGTTGTTTCTTTCTTTCTCCCTCTCTCCCGCCACTGCAGTCCTTCAGTGCTGACCAGATTGCTGGTAAGTGAATTGAGCTTCTCTACTCCACACGTAGGCAGAGCACTGCCTCGTTTCTGAAATATCCCTTATCTCTAAGGCATGTTTCTGCGTGGCTCAACCTGTTAGTGTCCAAGCTATGCCTGAACTCTGAAAAGTTGGCTTACTTTTGGAGCTTACTTTGGAGATTACTCAGGGAATGAGCCTGGATACACTTAAAAATCAGGATATTTTTGTTTGGTTAAAATATTCTTTGTGGTTAATTTCTTTCTAACAGATCGAGTTCTCTAAGGAACAGCAGGATGGTAAGTTTAAAAGATACAGTTGTTAATATGTGCACACTCATAAAGGCGGCATGTGAGAAAACCGACTCCCTCGGGATGAGATTAGCTCTTCCTAATCATCAGCACTGGTGTTGCCACTCTAAATATAAATGCTCGCAATCACTCTTAAGTTTTCTCAACGTGAATCCCTTGCTTATAATCAGTAATCAAAGGTTTAAGCAAACAAAAGACAGATACCATAAAATAGGTCCTTGTATTCACTGATTTCTACGTAAAACCATTTTGATACAGTAGCCAATACCATACATATTACCCCAAAAAAGGCTGGAGATTTTGAACGGCTAATCTGTTCATCAAATCCCTAAAGAAAGATTTGGCAGGTCTGAATTGTTCAATCTAGAAAATAATATTGATTGTGAAACTGCCCAATTACCAAACCTACATAATTTCAATGGGCATGAGTTGAGAGAAGCAGGTGAAGTGGATATAGAATGAAAGTAAATTCAGAGGCAAAGAAGGAGGAGGAGTTTATCATAAAACTGCAAGGAACATTAGACGTCTCCTGGTGTGTCTTTAGAAATACAAGACAGGCTCTCAAAGAGCTGATAGGACTTGCTCAAGGACCCAAAGCATTATTAACAGGATCAAAGTCTGGTATCAGTTTAAACTAATGAAAAATTTCATAAAAACAGTTACTAACCAGAAGACGTCAAACTCTTCAGATTCAAGAGAACCTGAGCAGTTTCCCTGACACTTCCACTTCTTCTCCCTCGGATCTTTGGATCCAAGAGATCCCATGCCCCACAAGATAGGTTTGTTCTCTAGAAGCATAGGGGCAAATGTTTTATGGAGCGAAAGTGGCCTAAGTTCAAAGAAACAGAGACAGAAGTACATCTATAGAAGGGAGAGGGAGAAAAAAATTTGTTGAATGATAGCATATAAATTGGGATATTGGTCATAAAAATTAGTATGTATATATGTTATGATATGTAATATATAATTATAATTATAGGTGCTTAATAAGTACCTATGCAAACACTCGGTTCTCTACCTAAAAAATTCCACATTTTCAGTCGGTTTCAACGTCTAAAATATTCATGTTTGGACATCAATTAAGAAAAAAAGAAGAATATTTGCTGTAGTAGAAACTCACATGTATCTACATCATGGCTGATGGTCTCATGTCAAGAGATTAGGTGATTTGATGGCTCAGAACTCAAGAGCATTTGAAATTATACTACAAAGGACTGGTTGTTTTTATAATTTGTTTGACTCTTAATGCATTTTTAACTAGTGATGCTGCTACATTATCAGCTACTGCAACCCAGTCCTCTTAAAAATCTCATTTACAGTGTCATTTTGACCAAACTCTGGTGGGACAAAGCAACAGAAGACTTAAAAATCCCTGCAGGGACAGAAGGACTTACTGTTGACCCTTAAACCCACAGCTACATACATGAACTAAGTTTTAGGTACAGAGGTTCAGGAAATGTTGGTGTGGTGGACTGGTTTTCTCTTGCCAGGAAAAAAGATGGAAGCATTTGAAATTTAAATGGAAACACAATGCTTTCAGAAACGAATGAAAACTTCCTTCATTTCTTCCTTGTTCAGTGATTAAAGAGTTTTGGTCATGGCTGCTCTATTTGAAGGTATCACAGGTTGCAAGGAAAGAAAAAAAAAAATTATTCACATTCTAAAGGTCTACGTCCTGTGCTATCTAGTAGAGTTGCCACTTGGCCACATGTGGCTATTTAAACTTAAATTTTAATTAATTAAAAATAAATACATTTAAAAAGCTATTTTCTCAGTTGCACTAGTCATATTTCACGCTCAGGGGCCACAGGTGGTTTTTTGGGTAGCCCAAAAATAGAACATTTTGATTATCATAAAAAGGTCTAGAACAGTGTTGGTCTAGCCCAGGGGCTGTCAATTTTTTTTCGTAAAGGGCCAAATTGTCGATATGTTAGGGTTTATTGGGAGTACAGTCTCTGTGAAAACAACTCAACTCCATCGCTGAGGTTTAAAAACAGCCATAAATAATACATAAATGTATTATTGGCTGTATTCCAATCCCACTTTATTTTACAAAAAGAGGTGCCCAGCCTGTAGGCAGTAGTTTGCTAATCCATTATTCTAGACTCTTTAAGAGAATAAATCTTAAAAATCTGAGGTAGGAAGAGCAGTATCTTTCTGTCCTAGGTGTTTAAATCAACAAAGGGTTAATGCCAGAGAGATTCTATTACAGCCCATAAAATCCTATTTCTATATCAGCTTCTGACCAGGGTAATAGTGAGCCCTCTGAGCAATCTGCATGAAAGCCTGGAGCCAATAACAAGAATAGTTCAGTTTCACATGTTCCTTAGAAAGACGAAAAATAATATTTGACTAACGACCCCACTGTGCCTACAGCATGCTTTTTAGTTTAGGGGAATGATCTGTTATAGTCAAACTGCACAGAATCTGAAGGGAAAATTTTAGCAAACAATGGCGACACGATCTATAGTTGATTGTGAATATAATGTCTGGTGCAACCTTAGATCAGGGGATGGACGGATGATAAAATAGGGTACTTTGCTGAGTAATCTATCTAGATGGCATCTTTTGATCTGAGGTCACTAATGGCCCAAATACACTTCTTTCAGCTCTACCAGTTCCTTCACAAATGGTTTTTTGAGTGTTGCTAGGATTAACTCCAACAAGTTGCCATCAGTACTTTTGGGTTCCCCAGAAAATTTAATTATATTATGTTTAGAAGTTTCAGTTAAAATGTCATTTCTGGCCCCTTAAACCATAGTACTACCCTCTTCTGTTTTTTTGGTATACACTTCTTAATTGTGAAAGGCCAAAATAGCTCCACCAACAGAGAATGACAAAATTTAGGGAAAGTTAGCAATAGAGTGATTGTGATAAAAATAGACAACACTTTAAAAATATGTACTTACATGTACACACATATAAGTACAAACTGACCTAGAAAAATCTGAATAAAATTGGTGGAGTCTATCAATGTGAACATTCTGGTTGTGATAGTATACTATAACTTTGCAAAATGTTACTATTGCGGGAAACTAGACAGAGTATTTAAGGGATCTCTCTATTTTTTCTTAAAATTACCTGTAAACTTACAATTATCTACATAAAATTTTAATTAAAAAATGTATACTTAAATTCTAAAGCTAATATAGCAACATGTTGTCATATGTATTATCTGAAGATGAGTAAAGTTTAAAAAGATTATCATAGTGGTAGATCCAAACAAATATTTCTCCTTCCAAACTGATTATACTAGGAGCCTATTAAAGTCATACACTGGTTAAATGACACTCTAGAACTTAAAGGTTTGTTTCACCTTTCTAATTTTTTTTCCTGAAAAATGAAGTCACGCCTGAAGATAACTAGTCAAGGGGAGAGTCTAGGAAATTTGTGCTTCAAGAGGAGGTTTTTCTAAATAATTTGAGAAATCTGGATTAACCTCGTGTAACACATCCCTGATTGAAAATTTGTTTTCTTTTATTTTATTAACTTTCTTAATTATGAGGAGTTCTTAAGATTTCTCAAGACCTCAGAACTTCTTAACCCAGTCCTGCTTCCCAGGCAGATGAAGGACATATGAATAAATATGACAAGGATCTTCAATTTCCATATCTGATTAATAATAATATATGATTTGAAGTTGGAAATGCTGTTTTAAAGCAGTCCGAAAAAGAAATGTCAAAAAGGATTGCCAATGGCAGTTTGAGCTAGGAAAAGGGAGTGTCCAAAGACAACTTAAGTGGTCACAAAAGTTGAGAAACAGAGGAGAGTATGAACTGGATTCTTGATGGTAGATTGGAGATTTGTAAGTGGTTACAAAAGTCGAAAAACAGAGGAGAGTGTGAACTGGATCCTTGATGAAGTTAGAGGTAATTTATAGTTCTGAAGGAGAAAAAAAGCACCCTAATGCTTCTTGCTTCTTGCAGAATTCAAGGAGGCGTTCCTCCTGTTTGACAGAACAGGTGAATGTAAGATCACCTTAAGCCAGGTCGGTGATGTCCTTCGAGCTCTGGGCACAAATCCCACCAATGCGGAAGTCAAGAAGGTGCTGGGAAATCCCAGCAATGAAGGTAACCAAGCAGCTGGGAAGCAAGCTTACACACGCACATGAGAGAGAGAGAGAGACAGAGAGAGAGAGAGAGAGCGTGCATGTATGTAAGAGAAAGAGAAATTTATTGAGAAATAAGATCCACAGAATAGAGTTTAATTTGCTCTTGATGGTAAGTGTGCCTCTTGGCTGTCTAGAGTCTCAGTTTTTTCCTCATAAAATAAGTTAACCTTCCTTTGAGAATTTGTAAGCATGATAAAATTTCATGCTAATGAAATAATACCTAAAGCTAACATCGTCGTCATCATCATCCTACCTAATGTTCATAATTTAAAGGTTAATGAATAATATCCAAATCTGCACATCTTTCTCGGAACTTCAAAGGCAAAAACACATTTTGACAAAGATGTTAAATATGGCTAAAACACGATATACTTTGTAAGCAACTCAGTAAAGCAACTCACTGACAAAAGCTGTGGAAATAAAATCCCAGTGCTCTCAGGAGGTTGAAAATACTTGCTGACTTTGCCCAGTGCTCTGTCTGTGACCATCTTAAAAGTGACTCAGCTCTCCTAATTAAGAATCAACAGAATGTCACCGTAATAAGAGTATTTTCTATTTCCAAAGACTTACAAGAAGACTTAAAAATCTAAGCCCAAACCTATAACCCCCCCAAGCAAATCCTGCAACAAAAGACTGAGATATGTAAGTGGCACCATCATAGAAGTCATTTGCTCGATACAGTAATCCAGTTATTAGTCTGGAACGAGAAAAAATTTTTCTGATCCCAATGGTTCATGGCAAAGGGTAATAGTCTATTGGAGAATACCACCCTGAACAAAAGACATGAGACAACACTGAAATTTTTTCAAGTAGATATTTGGGCTGTTTATCTTTGCCATGAGGGAAAAAAAAGAGGGGAAAGCAAAAAGCAAATAATCTCATTTTTCTCTTGATAACTGAAAAGACTATGCTCCTTTGTTACCAAAGTGGGAAGGAGTAGATTTGATTTCAAGCAAACCTACCTCTAAATCAGTCTCCTGGAATTTTTCTCAAACTTCATTTTCTTTAGAGGAAAATGTCCAGGTAAATCATGTAAAAGGTAGCTGAGCGCATGAGATAAAGTGAGAGGACAATAGCTAGATCTTATTCTGTAGATGCCACTTTCTAACTTACCAAAACATCCATCTTCTTTAGAATTATTAGGTAAATGTTCATTTATTCAGTGTTCAAGTTTGATCTTTTTAATATTATTCCATTTTTATTCTATGAGGAAAGACTAGTAAAAGGGAATTTTAATTTTAGGGTTACTTAACTTTATCCATTCACATCCATCTGGATAGTCTGTTTGATACTTTTGTTGTGAATGCAATTTACCTTACCATACTGAAGAAAACCTTACCATCCCCAGACCTCTAAACTGCAAAGAAGTCAGGAGATCACAAGGAATTTGACATACACACTCTCTTCATAGGCTTCTTTTTAAAGTTACTTAAAATTTAAGGAAGCTGTAGGTTCTACAAAAGCTCAGGACAAAGGAGGCATATATTTTAAGTTAAGTTTCACTGTATTTATATGCTAATGGGTTTGTTGTATCAGTATATTTTTTGCATTGCTTCTCTGGTATTTATAGAAAATATTAAATTGACCATACTAATAAAAAGTAGCTAACACTTATTGAGCACTCAGTTTATCCCAGGTATTATAATATATTTTGCAGGTATTATCTCATTTAGTGCTCACACTAACACTATGAGGAATCTCTATTTTTTTTTTAAAGATTTTATTTATTTATTTGAGAGAGAGAGAATGAGAGATAGCATGAGAGGGAAGAGGGTCAGAGGGAGAAGCAGACTCCCAGCTGAGCAGGGAGCCCGATGCGGGACTCGATCCCGGGACTCCAGGATCATGACCTGAGCCGAAGGCAGTCGCTTAACCAACTGAGCCACCCAGGCGCCCCAGGAATCTCTATTTTACAGGTGAAAAAGTTGAGGTACAAAAGGATGAAGAAAGTTGTCCATGATCACATAGCTGTAAATGGTGGATTGGGGATAAAAGCTTAAGCACAAGGACTCCAGAGCTCATGTTATTATCTATTACCAATTTTTTGTCATCAGCAATTTACCAGCTGAAATTTCAGCTATATGAAGATATTTTAGATGTTCTGGAATGAACTCTCAAGTTTAATTTGTGATTCAGAAATGACATTTTATCATAGCTAATAACTCTCTCAATTGCAACTTCTTCCAGAGATGAATGCCAAGAAAATTGAGTTTGAACAATTTCTGCCCATGATGCAAGCTATTTCCAACAACAAGGACCAGGGCACTTATGAAGACTTTGTTGAGGGTCTGCGTGTCTTTGACAAGGAGGGCAATGGCACAGTCATGGGTGCTGAACTCCGCCATGTTTTAGCCACACTGGGTAAGGAAAATTTATTTCAATGGACTTATTAGGACAGAATATATAGGAAAGAGCATGATTAGGGGGATCAAGTTCTAACAAAACAGGTAGGGGGTAAAGCTACAAGATGAAACAGAATAGTCAAAAATTAATGACCATTTCCATTGGCCTCAGTCTCAATGAGTTTGTTTGGGGGAAATGGTAACTTAAGTTACTAGTAATGAATAAGTAAAGCAAAGCATCGTAGTTCTTATAGGATAGAGTTTTGATGATCAGGGATAATATGTATTTAATTCATTCACTTAAAAACAATTCATTGACAATGTACTAAGTACCAGAGGAACAGGATAGGCTTGATTTCTGTCCTCCAAGAGCTTAATCATAGTCTCCAGAAATCCAAAACTGATCACTTATGATGGAATTTAGAAAATATCCCCTGGCCTTCTTTCTGAGCAAAGAGTTTTTGTTTCATCAGGTGAAAAAATGAAAGAGGAGGAAGTGGAAGCCCTGATGGCGGGTCAGGAAGACTCCAATGGCTGCATCAACTATGAAGGTACGATCTCATGTGCTTGGTGCTCACCGCAACTCTTAGCGGATTGCATTGTTGATGGACTCCTTGTGAGCTTAAAATAACTTTTTTGTCTTTGCTTCTCTCATTGAACATACTCATGTTTTTTTTATTATTATCAATTATACAATAACTCTAAGAATCTGACTGTATACCTAAGATTTTTATTCCAGTGGGCTTTGACACGCCTATGCATTGTGATACAGCTTACAATGTGTTTTCACATGTATTTTTTTCTTTCTAGATCTTTATAAAATCTCTGTAAGATAGACAGGTTTTGTGTCTGAATGAAGTGTAATGGAATATAAAAGTTGGAGAGATCTCAAAATCCTTTACAGCAAGCAATTATGAAAATGAGGAAGCTGAGGGCCAAAGAGGTCTAGTTACTGAGTGAAGATCACATCATAAATGGAAGGGCTGGTGCTAAAATTTCATTGTTCTTCTTGTCTGGTGTTTTTGCTTAAATCAAAGTCATCTCATGGCTGACTATCTATGTCCTGCTACCAATTTACAGCAGCTTCACCTCGGGGGTCTGAAAAACAACACACCCCACAAAATAAAGATGCAAAATAAAATTACATGATATAATCTGTAAATTTTAAAATTTCCAGTAAAATTGAGAAACTTATCTATCCTCCCAAAAACACTAACCTGGCCACTTTTCAACAAAGCTATGCTGATAGCTTTGATGTAAATGTAGACTTCTGAAGTCTAATGACTTGGGAAAAATTAAGAAAAGCAGAGAGAAGAGAGGAAAGGAAAGGAGGGAGGGGGAAAGAAGAGGAGAAGACAGAAGAAAAGGAAAGCAGTCAGCCAAGCACATCTTCACTGACAATCTTGATTAAACTTCACTTTTTTCCCATAAACAACGTTTTACATTTGGTTATTGCCATAAATAGATTACATAAAAGAAGCATCATTCAATAAATATTGTTTGGACAAGTGAAGAGTCATCTAGAAAATAAAGTCAGATCTGGATCCCATACCAGAATAAATTTCAAACGGTTCAAAAATTTAAATGTAAGAGCTGAAAGCATAAAAGCCATGGACAAATTATTTTATAACTTTGAGAGTGGGAAGGTGTTTCTAACGCTGATAAAAACCCAGAAGGCATTACAAGTTTTGATAAATGCAACCACATAATTTTTTTTTAAATCCATATGGCAAAAGCCACCAGAAGCAGAGTCAAAAGACAAAGAGCAAACCATAAAAAAAGTAATCAGTATCAGCAAAAGCTCATTTTCCTAATTAAAACAAAAACTACTGCAAATTAATAAAAAGACTACAACCCAATAGAAAAATTAACAAGTACATAAACAATTCACAGAGAAAGAAATAAAAAATATCTATCAATATTATATGCTAAACTTCGCTTCTAATAAAAGAAATGCAGATTAACACTACATGGAGATACCATTTTTCAATAAGATGACTGCCAAAGATTAAAAGTTTGACAACACTTTGGGTTGAGGACAGTGTGTGAAAACAGGTAATCTCATGCATTCCTGTTGGGAATGTCAATCATTAAAACCCCGATACAGTGATGTAGTATTAATAATCCGAGCAAATCTACATCATGGGATGTGGTTTTTAGATATACCTGCACTCAAGTGAAATGAGTGATACATGGTTATTCATTACCGTGTTGTTGGTAAATATTTGAACAACTTAATGTCCACCAATATAGGATGTATCAAAGAGATTCTGGTATATCTACAAGATGAAATTCCCTACAGTGCCCCCAAAATAATGATACTCTTGTTTATGGTCATTCAGTGAGAAAAGCAAATGCAAAAGAGTTTGTAGAGTATGCCACCATTAGGGTGAAAAAGAGTTTTAGAAACAGATATTTGTATTTTCTTATATATGTATAATAGCTCCACCAACTTTGCTGTAAAGAGAAACTAGGTAGATGGGAGACAGTGGTGAGGAACATTTTGTTTTTGTTATAAGCTCTTTCATACTCTAAAGAAAACTTTTAACCATGTGAATGTACCACTTCTTCCAAAAAAAATGAAATTTACAAAGTCAGGAGAAAAGCTATGAATCCAGGATGAAGAATTGTGGACTGTACCAAGCTTAAAACAATAAATGCTCCTATTATCGCTGAGAAAAATTAGATTGAACTTACTTGCTAAATCTCTCTTTCATTAAACTTGATGGTCTTCTAACTTAAACTGTCTGTATTATGCCCACAGCTTTTGTCAAACATATCATGTCCAATTAAATGGAGCTCTCAAGGTAAATATTTTGCTTTTTATTATATAAGGCTTTCTCGATATTGTGTTTTTAAAAAATTCAACAGCTTCACTTTATATGCTGTAAACATAATTAGTATTAGTTCTTAGTTAAGATTTATTTATATTAACCAGAAAATATCAACTCTTTTCAACCCATCTCATCTCCTGAAATGGGTTACTTGGAAATAGAGCATTTTTGGGGGGCGCCTGGGTGGCTCAGTTGGTTAAACATCTGCCTTCAGCTCAGGGTCCTGGGATCGAGCCCCTCATCGGGCTCCATACTCAGCAAGGAGCCTGCTGCTCCCCCTGCTTGTGCACTCTCTCTCTCTCTTGCTGTCTCTCAAATAAATAAATAAAATCTTTAAAAAAAAAAAAAGGAAATAGAGCATTTTTGTATAAGTGTAGAAGCAAAAATTTCTGAGATGTTTGCTGCCCTCTGTAAACCTTAGCTTTGATTGTACTGTAATTATGCAGTGGAGATTCAACAAGCCAGGGACGAGTTAATGAATTTAGCCGGAGCATCACACTAATAAAAGTATGAGCCTAAGTTCTTTGACTAATTGATACAGTTTTTAACAATTACTGCTCTAGAAAACCAGGTTATCACAGTTCAAAATTAAGCACTTGCAACTAGATTATTACAAGTAGGAAATGGCTTACCTTCGAAGTGCTGGTTCATTCTGTGCTTTTTCTTCTTTTGTACTTCATGTTATTTCCTCCCCAGCTTTCTTTCTGAAAAGATGCAATCAACATTTAACTCAGTTTCCCTTTTCCTTTCCAGATCAAGGATTGTTTACAAAGACTGGCTGGAAACTTCTTGCAATAACACCCATGACTTACTGTCCAGACCTGCTTACCATCATTCAGACAACAAAACAACATGGACTGTTCTAGACTGAAGGACTCCCTGAACTTTTATGTACTTCATGTTTCTCTCTAAATTGTATTCATACCACACAAATCAAGTGTCTCCTGCTCTAGAAGAGAAGGATAAAATACTGACAACCTCAAATTCAAGTACCACTCTTCATTTTCCACCAGGGGTCAATGAACATCCTTAAAATACTAAATCAATAAATAATTTTGGTCAGTCTGGAATGTTCCAGTTGCGTTGTGTTTTTTATCTTCTTGCTTAGGGAAAGTAATTTTTAAATTTTCAACTATTTGTTACTGTACCAGAATACGGATGAATTGTAAATTTTTAAAGAGTAAGTCACTGCAGTCTACATAGCAATAACATACTGAATCATCATCATCATCATCATCATGTTACTGAAAAAGTGAGAGAACTGAGGAAATTCAGATAGGATCAGAGACACCTTCATATAACCTACCTATCCAGATAATTTAAGATTAAAGCAGATTTTCTCAGTTTTGTGTAAATCATCATATATGTGGCTTGACCTATCATTTCTAGTGACAATCTGGTGTATTCATAAGAAAAAGGCCTAATAAGCTATCGCTCCTTCTCAGTGAATGTCCTCAAGGTTAAAATTTAAAGTGACCTTTCAGCGGTTCCTTTAAGAAAAAAACCTCTGCAGATAAGATCGTTACTCAGGAACTCAAGATCCTGTGCATTAATATTCTCTCTCCTGCTATGATCCCTGCTACTTTGCATGTCCATATCCCCGAATTTTGGTTCAATTTCTTAACACATGTCCTAAATGGTAATACCAATGGATAGAAAAGTTCAGAGTGTAAACTTACTTTGCCATCTCATAATGCTATCATGTATCACTTTTTCTTTAGAACAGAGGCAGAATTTGCAAGTTAATAGTCAACTATGCAGAAGAGAGAAAGTGATAAATAGTTCTCCCACTCTCTAAAAAGATATCCATAATATATAAGATTATAAAATCTCTGAAAAGTACCTGCCTGCCTATCCATTTTTGGAAGCTGAAACTTCTTCCTGATGTTGGGCACTTCAGGTCAATGTGCTCCTTCCATCTTTAGCAAAGGTCACTCAGATTCCAGTAGCCAACATCTTCAACTTTGACCTATGCTTTTGTAGCCAAGATGATGTCAAGACATCACAATCCCTCTTTTAAGGAAAATTCACCATGGCCTCAAGATCCTTAAGGCCACGTTTGCCTAAGATCAGGAATTTGAAATTTCGCCCGGCACTGTCCAATAGAACTTGCAGTAAAAACAGATGTGTATAAATATGTACATTGTCCTATTTGGTAACAACTAGCCACATGTAGTTGCTGAGCACTTGAAATTAAATTTTTAATTGATTTCAGTAGCTAAATGTGGCTCATGAATACCAAATTGACCAGCATTAGGTTTCAATATATATTTATATTTGGTTGTCACATCAGGCGATAAAAAAATGTTTTTAAAAAATAATGAATGTCACTGTGTAGAGAAGTTGACTGGTATAAATAGTCCAATCATAAAAGGCTCATTTTTGTTTTGGAATACATAGCTAAATTTCCCAACATCTATACTTCTTTAACATTATTCAGTTAGAAAAATGTGATGCCTACAAGGTACTAACTTTTTAGTCTCAAGCTTTAGCTTTAATGTTTTTCCCTCAAGACCTTATAAAACTGCTTTAACTCCCAGTGGAATAACATCTTGTACACTATCATGGGACTTAACCTTATTAAATTACCATGTGTGAAATGCCCAGAACTCAAGTAGTAGCAGGTGCAAAATAGAGTAGCGGGCGGAAGAGTGACAGTAATTTTTAACATCTACACCAGCTGGCAAAAACGACAGGTGCTTAATTCCTCAGTCTTTAAAAATAACTTTCGAAAGCCCACGCTGCATAAGCAAATATATTCAAGTTTGTTTTTTTAACTACCTTCAAGTTACCTTCCTGAAAAAATGTAATATACATTTTGGGCTTCAAAGTATATTTGAAACTTAACGCACAGGAACTTAATTTATTCTCCTCTATGAATAAAATAAACAATGATTATTAAATCGGGGAAATAAAAATTGATGTTTTAGACTTCATGGTAATATTTCTCAAGAAACATATCAAAAAGAACACTTAGTATATCTTTTTCTAACTATATTTACGTGTCTCTTTCCATACTGGCAAATATAACTTGGAACTTGATAGAATGGAGAAAGAATATCTTCCTTAAAATTCTAAGTCCAGTGAAAACAATTAATCTATAGATTTATTTAGCAAACCACGCTATACCCTAAAAGAAAAGAGGAGATTAAACAGCAAGTATCTGGAGTCCAGACTAAAGAGTTATGCTTCTCTAAATTACCAAGATAACTGAAACTAAAGAAGAACAAAATGATAGAGTAATTCAGGCAACGATCTCAATTTTACAGTGTGATGAGTAAGCCCTGGGCACATAGAGATGGACTTGCTGAGAAGTGACAAAGCTCAGACTTTTCAGGGCTAGATCTTGAGGTTGCCCAGAACTACTCATAAAAATAGTAGAAATACTCCTCATCTTCTTGAATGTTTAAAAAAAACAACAGCAGTAAATTCCTTTGTCAGTAATCACATAGGTGGCAAAGAGAAATTCCGGTAGCAGATTAGTTGGGCTTTTCTTTCTATCCTCAAAAAGACAAAGATTATCCTTTCCTATTGTCTTCCTCCAATCTGTGAAGGAGAAAATCAACTCCTCTCATAATATTCATCGTGTAGGGTGACAATAAGTATAACGCTATTAGAGTAGTCACTAATCAATAATGCCTGCTGGTACAATAAAAAAAAGTGAATTTAAAAGTGAAAAGCAAAATATATTTGGGGAAAATATTTTTAGACTTAAAAAATATATATTAAACACTTCACCCATAACTTGTATAAAAATGTACTTAACGGTAATCATTTGATGACAACTGGTGAGGTTCATTTGAACTATACTTCAGCAGCAGAAATGTCCAAAGAGCAAACATGGACTTACTCCTGCTTACTTTTCACCCTCATCAGTTAGATGTTCTTAGGAAGAATTCAAGCATGCCATAAAGGACAGGTGCTTTAGAGTCAAGGCTTAGGTGTGAACCCTACCATGACTACTTCTAAAGCAGCAATAGCTGAGTGATCATGGGGCAATTACTTAACCTTAGCAAGTCTCACATTTGTCTTCCACAAAATGTCTTTTCTTAATTTATTTTTTATTGAAATATAATTGACAGTATGGAGGTTCCCCAAAAAGTTGAAAATAGAGCTACCCTACAACCCAGCAATTGCACTACTGGGTATTTACCCCAAAGAGACAAATGTAGTGATCTGAAGGGGTACATGCACCCCAATGTTTATAGCAGCAATGTCCACAATACCCAAACTATGGAAAGAGCCCAGATGTCCATCAACAGATGAATGGATAAAGAAGATGTGGTGTATATATATATACAATGGAATATTATGCAGCCATCAAAAGGAATGAGATCTTGCCAGTTGCAACGACATGGATGGAACTAGAGGGTATTATGCTAAGTGAAATAAGTCAATCAGAGAAAGACAAGTATCATATGATCTCACTGATATGTGGAATTTGAGAAACAAGACAGAGGATCATAGGGGAAGGGAGGGAAAAATGAAATAAGATGAAACCAGAGAGGGAGACAAATCATAAGAGATTTAATCTCAAGAAACAAACTGAGGGTTGCTGGAGGGATGGATGGGAGGGTTGGGGTGGCTGGGTGATGGACATTGGGCAGGGTATATGTTGTGGTAAGCGCTGTGAATTGTGTAAGACTGATGAATCACAGAACTGTACCCCTGAAACAAATAATACATCATATGTTAATAAAAAAAATTTTTTTTAAAGAAGTATAATTGACATACAACATTGTATTAGTTTCAAGTGCACAACATGATTTGGGATTTGTATATATTGTTAAATAATTAGCACACTAAGTTTATTTAATATCCTTTACCTCACATAGTTACAAACGGTTTTCCTTAGGACGAGAACTTTTTTTTTTTTTTGAGATTTTATTTATGAGAGAGTGAGCAAGAGAGCAGGAGCCAGGGCAGAGACAGAGGGAGAGGGAGAAGCAGACTCCAACCCCAGGACCCTGGGATCATGACCTGAGCCTAAGGCAAAGGCCCAACTGCCTGGGCCACCCAGGCACCCCAAAATGCCTTTTAAAAGGATTGTTTTGTGAATTAAAATAAATTAAGAATGTGACTTATTTGGCACGTGGCAAGCACTTGAATATTTTTCTTCTTGGTTTCTTTAGTACTATCCCCTGGGTTTATACCAAGTATTGGGTTAAATCTTTAATAACTTCCTGTTGCCTAGAGTATAAAATTCCAAGATTATCAAGACACACAAGACCTTTTAGGAACTTTATCAGTTTTGTCTCCTGGTATTTCTTCTTAATTACTCTTCCTCACAGTCATGCTGAATGGTACAGTGCATAAGAGCTCAGACTTAGGTTTCAATCCTTTGTCACATCCTAGATGGGTAACTTTGATTATACAGTACATAAAATAGAATACTTAGGAAACCCTGCACTTAGGTACAGTGCGTAAGAGCTCAGACTTAGGTTTCAATCCTTTGTCACATCCTAGATGGGTAATTTTGATTATACAGTACATAAAATAGAATACTTAGGAAACCTGCTGTGTGAATTAAATGAGGCAACATATAATGACTATGTAAGAGCTATTTATTGTAAAATATATATAAATGAAAAGGTAGTTATTATTATAATTATCACCTCTTAAAACTGTTATGAAAGTTCCTATTTAGAAAAATTATTTTACATCGTCTAAGACTTTGCTCACTTAACAGCTCTTCCATTGACCTTTCCTCACTTCATCCACCCGCAAATACCCACCAATGTGTAGCCTGTAGCACCCTATATCTATTATGGTATGTATAATACAGCAAAATTATTTGTTTGCATTGCAACATATCTGTATCCCCAGAGTGTGAAACAGTGCCTGACACATGGTTGGCACTAAATAAGTATTTTTAAAAGCATGAATAAATAGATGACTAAAACTACCTCTCATGTCTTCCATCCCCTTAACCTTGAAGGTAAAAAACATGTCCTATTGACATTTGTATCCTGAATGTTTAGTTGAGTAATAAAACTCAATAGGTACTCAATTCATTATAAGTTTAGTAAATGTATTAATGAATTAATGAACATAAGAATGTATTAATAAATGAAAA